TTCATCACCAAGGCATAATGAAGAAGAAATGAGTGACCTTGGAGGAGTTTGATTGCTAGATGATCCCTCCAAGGTGGCCTAAATTTTAGAGAGAAAGGAGAGCTTGTGTTCTCATCCTTTCCCCAAAAATTACCATATGTAAATTTTAGGCTATAAAGTCCTTTATATAGTCCCTTCAAATAAGTGACCTAATGGACCAAAAGCCCTATTCTTCTAACATGGCAAGCCTATAGGGTTTATTGGGCTTTCAAGCCCTTTGTTTATTCAAGTTGTCATACAACTTGAGTTAATGGGCTTGACATTCAAATCCCATTGGGCCTTGCGGCCCAAAACTAACCCGAGGTCTTTAACGAACTTATTCGTTTGATTAATTAACATATTAATTAATCCTAGCCTTAGATAAACAATTAAACCATTTAATTATTCTTACTCATCTCCGTTGTTTCTTCAAACTCTACCTTACTCGGTGAACGATCCATTAGGTTCCTTTTAGCGAGGCAGTGGGCGATTAAAACTCTTTCTAATCGATTGTGAATTGAAACTTACTTTCAATTCTCCCGTTAGTGATAATACACTTTTAGGGCTTCCACAAACCATGGTTGACGCCTAGCAGCATGTCATGGTTACCCAAGCTAATCAGAAGAGGTGGAGAACCTATTCAGTTTTAGGATTACAAATGCAATACGGTCTTTCTCTAATACAATACTCTTGACCACATTGTTTGGTTTGATAGTTTATTCATGTCTACTATCCAATGTGAGTCTTGTGCTTATATGATTACCTTGAATGTGATTTGGAACACATTCCTAAATCTCATTCATACTTTGGCCAAAGATTCGTAATCATATCATAGAGTATTCTCCCTCAAACAGTTTGAAGGTTAGAGATCCCTTGTTGCGCATTCACTTGCCTCCATGGCTAAGTGGCTTAACCCCAACGATGCCATGGACACCCTCCTGATGGAGTGACTTTGACATAATCAAAGATTAAGGACCTAACCACAAGACAACTGTGATGCCTCAGGTCAAAAGACTAATTTGCATTATCCCAACCATGAGTTCTCATGTGACATGAATATGAGAACTCTTCGTTGATCGTGTTCAGTGAACTCATTCTCTATTGAGCACCTATGTACTTGTCTTGATGTCACACACACCAATGACTCGAGACTAGTCACTCTTCCTGAGAGAAGACATAGCACGTACTGATCTTAACGGACTGTCAATGCCCAATTGACAATCCTATGATTAGAAACGTTTAGGATGTGTCAACGAAAGAATGGTCTCATGAATCTAACTTCTTTAGATCGCATTCTTCCAATCACATATTCTTTGGACTTATCGTTTAAGCATATAACATTTATATGAGACGGCTCAAACAATAATGTTTGCCCTTAATATTAAACTAGATTAGTTTAACATGTGAAATGTCCATAAAGTATCATCATATGATTGGTTTTAGGGCACATTTCCAACATAGAGGTAGCCACCTATACTGAGATTCGCCACAAATCCTCGTCGATACGGACTTTCAGCAACTAAAATCTGGAAGGGCGCAAAAACAAGCGTGAGTGGGCCTGAAAATAAAGTTTTTAATAAAAACCTTTTGAAAATGTTATAACCCCTCGCCGTAAAACCCATATGATTTCCCGGAAAATAATAATACATACGTATATAGAAATCTTGCTTGAGAGTAATGAAAACCAAGTACATGCCATGTCAAGTCTCTCAGCAATAAAATAAGTAAGCCAGGTGAAATAAATCAATGTAAAATGATATGCCAGCTGGAGTCACCTAACGTGACCTGTACGGCTGAACCTATAGCTCATTAATCAATTCTTGCACACGAGTCGGAACCACCTAATGTGGTATGTACGACAGGCTGTGTGTAAATAAGTACACTCAAGTGCTACGATCACGTGAAGGCTGTGTGAAGTATCGCAAGTCACCTACGAGTTAGAACCACCTAATGTGGTCTGTACGATAGGCTAGCACCTACCTTGGATCCAAGGTGAGCATGTGGTGCTGGAGGTGATCGATCGCATGAAAGCTAGGCCTTGACCTTGGGCGGAGCACTAACACCGGGGTGCAAGATAATGAGTACCAAATGCATCCAGGCATAACCATATACATCACAACCACTAACATCATAATGTACTCACCTGTAGCTTACATGGGCTCCGCAGCATCATGCAACATTATGCAAAGCTATACTAATGCATAGGCTAAAATGTAAAGCAACCATGACATGGCATTTTAAACGAAATTCCACTTAAAACCATTTCTGGGAAAAATGGAAAAACTTATATACATATATATAGAAAACCAAAAAGCTCACTCACCTGGAGTCCGTGCTACAACTCCTTAGCATAAATATCAAGGCGTCATGAACGATTGCCGCCTAAAACAATTATCAAATCATGTCTTAGAATTCTTATCAATAGAACATATAACTTACATGTCCTAATTGGGAAGATCCGTACATCAGATTCCTGATCCATAAGTTTCTAATATCCTCAAATATTACGTGTTATAACGTATCAACGTTTGGTGACGATCCAACGGTCAGATCGTCGATTCATGCACCTTAATCAAACTAGATTCACAATACTCAAATCACATCATATGGATATCAAATCTGAGATCAGGATATCAATTTAGTGTAAAATAGCATCAGCGGCCCATTGGCTACGTGCCACCGCCGGTGGTGGTCGGTCGCCCTGTCTCGCCGGAAAATTTAACTATTTCTAAAAATTCTCAAACTTCATAGAAATGAAGATCTCAGTGAGTGGAGCAACTTTCATACCTGTGGCTAAGGCCAATTTGGCCGAGAAACACCTCAAATTCCCCTCGATTTGTCAGAAACCCTATAAAGGGTGACTCTTGATTCGTACTCAAATTGACTCCGATGCTCCAACCAATGATTGGACATTGTTTCTAGGCTCAAGGGAGTATATTGGTGGTGGCAATTGAGAGAAATCATTGCAGAAATTGCAGATTACCACTAAGAACACCACAGTGCCGCCGGTGCTCTTGCCATGAAGCCAAGACCAAATCTTGTCCAATTTGTGCAGAAAATCGAAGAGGAATGATTGATGAGAAGTTCCCAAGTATTGGGCCGGTGCAATTCGCCAAAATTTGACGAGAGAAAGCACTGGATTTCATACATTTCCACCGGGTTGGGTACGGGTCAAGGTGAACCCAGCGGTTCTCCTCCTCCTGTTCTCTCTTTTCTCTCGTTTCTCTCTTCACTGATTGGTCACCCTCACATCTCTCCTCTTCTAATTTGCCTCACCTCTCCCTCCTTTTTCTCCTTTATCCTCCATCTCCATCTCCACCGCCCAACTTTCTTCCTTTTAATTTGGGCCACACCTGTGGCCTTCCTGAATTGGCTCCAGAAATCTAGAGCATTCTAGAAAATAATCAATTTACTAAAATGCCCCAGGCTTTAAAGATTAATATCTCCTTCATTATAACTCCAAATTGCATTCTGTTTGTGCCCACACATCCGTAGTGACGAGTACTATGAGGATACGCCTAGAAAATGAACCTTACGTGACACGACATGGCAGTCAACAAAAGTCAACGCTTTGTCTCGAAGGACATCTTTGTAAATTCACTTTTTAAAATTATAAAAATCATAATAATTGGGGACGGGTCGTTACACTAATTGTATTCCTCTTCACTTGTAAGCGAGAGGTCTTAGTTTCGATTCTCGCCAAAGGCGAATTTGAACCACATTATTGCTAGCCCACCCCCTCTCATTTGTGTAGATAATATCGTTTATTCAAAAAAAAAAATATATATATATATATATATAATTTAAAAACTATGAATCTTTGTTTAAGTACAATAGCGTTTAAGTACAATAGCCAATTAGGCTAAGCAGCTAAACCCAATACTTGTAAGATTTATTTGTTTTATTATAATTAATTGAATAAAAACAGCAAACTTGTTTTGTATGTGAAAGTTGAAACGTCAAGCAACTCAAGCATGTTCTTATTTACTTGAAAAACCAACCTATTTAATTTTTTTTTTTTGACACTCCCCAAATTGGTAGCCACTAAACGCTAAACAGCTAAACCCCTTCGGCCTTTGTCGCATTCCCCAAACAAACATCAAATCCTAAACACACTTGTTTACTGTAATCGGTTCCCTTCTCAAATAGACAAAACTCTCAAATTCTCAATCTTAGACTCCTGACTACAAATTTATGCGATTCAATTCAGTTTTTCGATTTGGCAATTTTTTATGCCCACCCCTACTTCTAACAGTGTAGTTGTTGGTGGTCACAATGTTTTCAAGGGATAAAATGTGTGTCAGATAAATAATGTCACTTTGAAAAGTAATGACAATATTATAGGAATTGAAAATATTTATTAAAAGCTCAACTCTGATTTTTATGAAAGAAACTTTTAAAAGCAACCTATAGGCCGCTTTTAAAAGTTGCAGGATATTTTATTTTAATCAAGTACTTTTATTTTTTTAATTTTAAAGTGAAGTTGCTTTTGGTGTAAAAAGACAAATACCAAACGGATCTTAGACTAATACCTAGTTAACCACGACTGTTTTTTACTGTCGATTGCTTATATTTTTGTACTAGTCGCCTAATGATTAAAGAAAGTTTGTTGTAATATGTATGATACAATAATAGTGAAGTATAAAAGAAATAAAACAAATTCTTCCTGTGTTTGCAACTTTCTAAGAAAAACAGCTAAATTTAAGAGCTAGTTTTACGGCAGATCTTATTACATGTAGAGCTGTGAATTGTAGAAAATGTAAAAACCCTAAATTAGAAAAAGAAAATAGTTTGAGAAGAGTTGACACCTTGTATGGCTCTTGTATACCATCCAACTAAAATTGGACTTTTCTATTCGCTTCCATTGGTTGTTTTACAAAAGAGAGGCACAGCCTTTGCCAAAACCCATGTCATGCACGTATGTACCTAACTCTATTGCGGCCATCCGTATATTTAAACTCTTCCTTCAGCCCCAAGAAACTTCCCCGTCCCCCAATTAATAAACCTAGGCCCTGTAGCCTAGATAACACAATAACCCCCTCATTGGCTGGCTATCTTCACAATAGTCCAACATATTGGAGCGTGTGCAAGCCATGGCACGAGCCGTGTTTCTCGTATGGGTCTTGTCGGTAATTTTGGCCACAACCAACCTTGCACAAGGTTTAGGTGTCAACTGGGGTGCAATGGCGTCGCACCAGTTGCCTCCTAAAAATGTTGTTCAGATGCTCAAAGATAATGGGATCAAGAAAGTGAAGCTTTTCGATGCGGAACCTTCGACCTTGAACGCATTGGCCGGGTCAGGTATTCAGGTCATGGTTGGAATCCCCAATGAGAAATTGGAAAAGCTTGCTGATAGTTACTCAGAGGCACAACAATGGGTGAAAGAGAACGTTACCAAATGGCTTGGCAGCGTTAGTATCAGGTTTGGATTAATTTTCTTTTCCTTAATTTGTATATAATTAGGTTGTAATACATTGATATGGTCGGAAGTTTAATTTACATATTTTTGTTGTGTTTAACTTTAATTTGCAGTTATGTGGCTGTTGGTAATGAGCCATACTTGACGAGTTACAACGGTACCTACGTTAAGACTACTTACCCTGCATTGAAAAACATTCAAAAGGCCATACGTGAATCAGGAGCTGGGGACAAAATCAAAGCCACAGTGCCCTTCAATGCTGATGTTTACGAATCGTCATCAAGCAAACCATCAGACGGGCGTTTTCGAAAGGATATTAAGAACAATATGGTCGAGATACTTCGCCACCTTCGCGACAATAAGTCCCCTTTTGTCGTAAACATCTACCCCTTCCTCAGTCTCTACCAGAGCTCCGATTTCCCCAAAGAATTTGCTTTCTTTGAAGGTGGTAGCAAGCCAGTGAGCGACAACAACATTGAGTACAAAAACGTGTTTGATGCAAATTGTGATACGCTGATTAATGCACTGAAGAAAGAAGGTTTTGGTAACATGGAAATCATAATTGGGGAAGCCGGATGGCCTACCGATGGTGACAAGAATGCCAATATAAAAAATGCCAAGAAATTTTATGATGGCCTTCTCAAGAAACTTGGCAAGGAGGAGGGCACCCCTCTTAGGAAGGAAAAACTAGAAGTCTACTTGTTTGGCCTTTTCGACGAAAACCAAAAAAGTATTGCTCCTGGAGACTTCGAACGTCACTGGGGTATTTTCCGATATGATGGGCAGCCAAAGTTCCCTATGGACCTCAGCGGAAAAGGAAACGGAAATCAAATGCTGAAAGCCGTAAAAGGAGTTGAATACTTGGAGAAGCAGTGGTGCGTGTTGAACAGCGACGTTAAGAACATGAGCCAAACCGATGCGGAACTCAACTACGCATGCGCTGGGGCTGATTGCACAAGCTTGGGGACTGGAAGGTCTTGCGATTTGGATCAACATGGCAAAGTCTCTTATGCTTTCAACTCCTACTTCCAAAACAGAGACCAAGATGTTCGAACATGTAACTTTAATGGGATGGCAACCATCACGAAAAACAATCCCTCAGTAGGAGATTGCCTCTTTCCAGTTCAGATTGTCAACACCGGAGCGCCGAGGCATGGTGCAGTTGGTGTGGCTTATGCATTCAGCATCTTTGTAGGACTGTTGTGGATGATGATATGAGCTTCTTCACATTAATATTGATGTAAGCTAGTTAGACATACATGCAATGACTAATACATACATATAAAGGAATTAATTAGCCAGCCAATATAATACAATTAAGATATGAAAATTATTTCTGCAATACAACATTAATATTTTACTAATTACATAAAATTAATAATTAACTGTATATGCATTGTGATTAATCAAGTTTAACTATCCTTGTATGATACTTGTATTAGATAATTATGGTATTCTAGCTAAATTTTGAACTTACCCTAGCTAGTAGCTAGTTTCAAGGCTCGTTTCTCTACAGCCTTGAACACTGGAAATATGTCCGTAGGATGTAGAATGATTTAGACAACGAAAAAAATGATATGAGGAAAGTAGACACTACTAGAAAAGAGCCAGCTAAATTTAGAAATCAGTTGGTTAATTAGCCTGGTAACAAACCTTTTGAGCGCTTCCACTGGTTTAATTAAACTTTTCTTCTTAAACTCCATTAATTCCAGAATTAAAGAGTGCTCACAATTCAAAAGAAGCGTGGCCATCTCGATTGGTAGCTAGCTAGATAAGAGCTAAATGTTTCTTGTGTGGTTGTTGTGTTCCGTAATGCTGGTAATCTGGGTAGACCTGGACCTTGTACAAGGTTTACGTGTGAACTGGGGACATATGTCGTCGCACCCCTTGCCTCCCAACAACATTGTTAAAGATGCTTAAGGACAACGGGATCAAGAAACTGAAGCTTTTCGATGTGGATCCTAAGACCATGAAAGCCTTGTCCAGCACTGGTATTGATGTCATGGTCGGAATTCCCAAGGAAAAATTGAACAAACTTGCTCATGATTACGCAACTGCCCGAAAATGGGTCAAACAGAATGTCACTGCATATCTTCATAATGGGCGAGTCACCATCCGGTATGCATGTGTGTGTTTATGTCCAAAATGTTTGTCTTCCGATTCAATATTAGTGAAGCTGACTGACTGAATCCATCTTTTGTTTAAAAAAAAAAATTCACAGCTATGTGGCTGTCGGGAACAAGCCATTCTTAACAAGTTACAACGGTACTTATGTTAAAATGTATACCCGTAAGTGAAAAACGTCCAAAAGGCCCTAGCTGAAGCTGGCGTCGGAGGAAACATCAAATGCGTGGTGCCCTTCATTGCTGATGTATACGAATCTCCACTCAACAAACCATCAGACGGGCGTTTCCGAAAGGACATTCCAAAACAAATGTCGAAAATACTAGAGTTTCTTCGTACGCATAGCGTGCCATTTGTTGTCAACATTTATCCCTTCCTTAGCCTCTCCGGAAGCTCTGGCTTCCCAAAAGAATTTGCTTTCTTTGATGGTGGTGGCAAGACGGTTAGAGACAACGGTGCCCTGTACAACAATGTGTTTGATGCAAATTATGATACACTTCTTTGGGCGCTTAAGAAGGCAGGCGTCCCGAACGTGGATATTGTAATTGGGGAAGTAGGATGGCCTACGGATGGCCACGACTACGGGAGTAAGAAATTGGCCAAGAAGTTTTACGATGGCCTCCTAAAAAATTGGCAAGTCAAGTGGGAACCCCTCTTAGGAAAGGCTACTTGGAAGTGTACCTATTTGGGCTCTTTGACGAGGATCAGAAAAGTGTTGCTCCGGGGGACTTTGAACGCCATTGGGGAGTATTTAGCTACGATGGCAAGCCTAAATTTCCCATGGACCTCTCCGGCCAAGAGAACGGACATCAGATGCTAAAAGGCGTAGGGATTGAAATACTTGCAGAAGCAGTGGTGTGTGTTGCATAGCGATGTTAGGAACTTGAGCCGTGCACTAGCGGGATTCAATTACGCATGCTCTTGGGCAGATTGCACAAGCTTGGGAGGGAAGAGGTCGTGTGACTTGGAAATGCATGATAGAATCTCTTATGCTTTCAATGAGTTCTACCAAAACGGAGACCAAGATGTACGGAAATGTGATTTCAGCAGCACGGGAAAGAAGGTAACACGCGATCCCTCTCAAGGAGATTGTCTATTCCGTATACAGATTGATTTATTATGTGTTGCCGGACGGAGGCACGCCTTAGGTTATTCATCTACATCACTGTTTTTCATCATTGCCTTCTTCACATTATTCTAACTTTCTTTTATTTATTCGTTTATACAAGCAACAATGAGGAAGAAAGGAATTTTTGTTTTCCTTTTGAAATTTAATCCTTTTGCACAACCTATCCTCAATCAGAGGGCCGGCCAGCAGCACCAAATGCGACGGCCATTTATAGGCTTCGAATCAAGCTGTTAGAGAGGCGTTGAGAGTGCGATTTTCAGAGGGTTACAATTTTCCAAATACTTTTTACAGCAAATTGTGCTTTTTTTGGTTTTTGTCAATGTTTTTGTATTGTTTTCATTACAGTTTCATCCATGAATAAAACTCTTCTCCAACTAGTTCTCATCACATTATATTCAAACTACAAAAAATAGCTATGAACTGTCGAGAAATACATCTCTTGAGCTTAAAAATGTTTGGTGTAACTTCACTGACAAGTGACAACTAATAAATAGGAAGCAATAAAACCATCTCCGTATGTTGGCAACCTTCAACAGTGCAACAGTAACATGCACGCTCGCAATTTCAATTCACTGACACTAGTACAAATAACATTTTGCATGACGTAGGTCCTTCGTCGCGCAAAGTCAAAAAAACGTCGCGTAAAAATTTGCCGGAAGAACCTTCGTTGTGCGCCAAGCGTGCACCAAGCCTCTAAAAGCAGGGTTTGCGCGACGAAGAAATAACCTACGTCACGCAAAGTGGGTTTGAGTGACGTAGGGTTGTGCGTCACGCAAAGACACTTTGAGTGACTCACGTCCCTATGTCATGCAAACCCACTTTGCGTAACGCACGCCCCTACGTCACAACAAGTGTCTTTGCATGACGCACAACCCTACGTCATGCAAACCCACTTTGTGTGACGTAGGTTATTTCTTCGTCGCGCAAACCCTACTTTCACAAGCTTGGTGCAACGCATTTCCCTATGTCACGCAAAGACAGACCTATGGAACTTCTTCGTCGTGCAAACTCTTTTATTTATTTTTTTTTTTTTTTGACAAAAATATTTTTTGATTTAATTTTTATAAATATTGTAATTCAATTCTAAACAATAAATAATGAACCAAGAAAAAGTATTTAATTATAAACTATCCAAACAAAAAAAGAAAAAACTACAATAGGTAGTCTTCTAGGTTTGATACATCAAACTATTGGGTATCAGCTGGGCAAAGTGGCTGGGAGGTCGAAGGTGGAGCAAGATCAGCGGCTGGTAGCTAGATTTGGAGGCCGGACATTGCTAAGGCCCGTACAATCATACTCATGTGGTCGCCCTGGCCCTCATCTCGACCCTCATCTACTAGTTCTTGGCCTTTATCTGCTTGCTCTGGGCCCTTATTTGCTCTCTCTGGGCCTTTATCTACTCGTCCTGGGCTGCAAGCTGACTTTTTAGGGTTGTCACTTCCTCCTTCAGGGCATTGACCTCTCCTGTGGTCGATCTGGAAAAGAGGCACCCGTCTCACGAACCCTCGCCTTTCCCATACCCCGAACAACCTTGCCATGACAATGACCGTACTTCTGATCCAGGACCTCAATCATGATCTGAAAACCTACATCCTCAGGTACAATGACGTCCTCGATCGAGATCTCCAGAGAAGCTGCGATGTTGCCTCTTGGAGAACAACAGCGCCCTGTAATAATAAAGAAAAAACATATAATGTTTAATAACAAAATATAAATAATATTTGAACGATTCATAAATATAAGAATTTACATATACTTACATGAAGCTGCTCAGTGGTCTCATTGCCAGGTCAAACGTAAACGTCCTTGAACAGGTCGATCTATGGGAACTTAGAACCCTCCTGAAGAAAAAAAAAACATTAAGAAAATTTTACTAATCAATAATAAAAAATAAATTGTATAAAATTTCAAAATTAATATACTTTTACCTGACGTCGTGCCTCAAGCCTATACAAAAAGGGCTTCGAACTGGAATGGTGGAGAAGTGACTTAGACTCCCGAGCTCTCTTGCCAGCAATAGATTTCTTCTGTTAAACACACACTATACGTGTTAGTGCGACTATTTGAAAGAAATTATTTTAAAAAGCTTAAAAAAATAAGTAAAACAGTAATGAATTATTATTAAAATATTATGTACATACCACAAATTTTGGGTCCATAAAATGGTTGCAGAGCCATTCCCAATCCTCGGCCTATCCTCCAACTCGAATGGGCAACCCTCTAGGCGAGCAGTCTATGGATCACCAAATTTCTTAAAATACGAATGAAGATCGCTCTTCCAATTTTTGTACCGGTTTGTGAAGGTCTCGTCTAAGTAGGTGATGACCTCAGGGGATATGTCCTTAAAATCAAAATTGACCTACAAATAAAACAACAAAATAATAGTAAGAAATTTAATAATATTAAGATAATATACTTTAGTTTATAATATTTGTAAAAATAATTAAAAAATGATAAAAGGCTAAAAATTAATATACTAGCCGACAACTTGTCTCGCACCAATATCTTCGTCTCCTGGGGAATTTTTGCCCAAGTCTCCCACTGCATAGGACAACAATCCTGAATAACACAACCACAACTAGTAGCGATGATGCTATGCTGCTGTGAGGTAACCGTCCCACGATGTCGCGAGTCATATGCATTCTTGATCAAGGAGGCGGACAGACGTACATTTTGTGCCGTCTTCAGCATTCACTTAGGCCCCCTGGTGTTTTTTTTAGCTGCCTAAAAAAACTTAAATGGTGAAAACCCTAAGCTTAAATTTCTACAGAAAATTCTACAAAGCCTCCCATAATAGTACATCATTTCCCAAAACCTTAAAAAAAAAGTAAAATAACAGTAATTCACAACCCGTAACACATTTTCACAATCCAGCAAATTTTCACGATCATAAAAATAATAGTTTTAAAATGAAAAAAAAATGCAACGTAGTGAGAATTAGAAAAAACTACCTGGCTGGGAACCCCCACCCTCGACTCTAGATAACGAGGAAGTGTGAACAGAAGGCTCCGAATCACGGCGGCGCCGGTGATGCCGCTGTGCATTGAGCGACTGAACCAACACTGATGACGTCAATGATACAGGCACCTGGGACGCCGTAGCAGT